TGAATTTGTCAAAACCATAATCACAAGACAATGTTAGTGACAAATCCAAACTAATATGGACTGAACTTGTTCAATCTTAACTTCTTGCCATCTGGCAGCACAAGGGCCTACCATTGCTTCCAAGTAGTTATGCAAACAACTGAGAACTCAAAGAACTCACATGCATAGTCAACTTTAACTGGAATTGGCACAGAAACTAGAATATGTCAACACGATAGGTTACAAACCTCAAGTCGTGGGCTAGTGATTAACAATACTCTTGATTAGTTCTTGAAACTATCTCAAGATCTTTTAAGACTCCCACTGACTTCTTGAAATATAAGATTTTCTTTGTCAAGAACCATTCCTTGACAAAACAAATATTCAAAAGTTAGTGCGGATTCTTATCAAGTTAAACACTTCACACAATTGGTCTTAGTTGGTCTTTGTTTTATCCAAAACATCACAACTTACCAATTTCAAATGTACTAAAGTAAGAAAACATTTTACTCTACATTTGACAAGTGTTATAAACCTTCTTAAGATTATGTCACTCAAGTTACAATCTTGGAGTATTTACTTTAAGACTCAATTTTGGAACGAAGTATGACTTATCTTTTTGATTTAACCAATTCAACAATCCACGATTCCTCTTATCAGCCAAACAGATGCACTAAGATGTCCTTAGAGAATCAATTGTGATATGGTTTTATAATCACTAAGATAATAATAAAACAAGATACTCAAGTACTCTCCCATCTTTTCAGATTGGAGAAACGTTTATCTTTCTGCCAAATTTGATTCTTCTTATTCTTTTTGCCTTACATTGAACCTTTTCCAATGTTTCAGGATTACACTTAAACTTCTAAGTATAACCATATTTACTAAACTTTAGTAAATCATGACGAATAGCCTTATCATTCTTTGTGGTGGACCTGATCAGTTCACAACCAAGTGTACCCGATCTCCTAGTCCTTCACTTGACTAATATATACATGTGAACAAGGAATTAGTCTTAATTGCCCAAAGATGAAAATTCTCATTCAACATACAATACAAGTTGCATGATTCCAAGTTTCTATCAAACTGAAACTTGGGTGATGAGAATCTTTCCTTATTTGGTTGATTATGACACTACCACAAACGAAAGAATCAAATCCATTTTCCAATATCGCTATTAATGGAATCATATAAACAACAATTTTCACAAATGCCACTGTAAGGAAATTTAAAATAAATAAAATTAAAACTTTTTCTTTTATTTTAAAACTTGAGGAAAAAAAACTTATCCTTACAATGCAAATACAAATGAAAAACATGTTGTTATCTATTCCTAAGCAATCTATCATAACTCTCAGCAGCAGCTCAAAATTCTGATCTTCACGATCAGAATCAGCTTACTCTTCTTTTAATCTTCCTCTATTTGATTCTTAAAACATCAAAAATGCGACCTAGTCACATCATGTAATAAGAATCTCAAAATAGGAACTTAATAGAGTTAGATAGTGAACTTTACCCGAAGTAGAGTCAAACCTTTTTCACTTTACCATCTTTATGATCTTTCAGGTAAATAGGGAAGCTTCGCAACCAATTCCCCTTTCTTTTGCAATTGAAACATATGGACTCTTTGGGAATGGTACACGGGACTATCTCAGATTTAGCCTTTCTCTTTACCATTTGGTCAACCGAATTGACTATGGTCGATCCCTTTCCATTGGGAAGAGAAAGCTTTTCTGGATTTCCATTGTTACCATTGTCAATGTCCATGGAAGTTTGAGAAGTCGATCTTCCAATCAAATTTGCTTTACCAGCGCTCCAAATCATTGCTGATTCAGCAGCATCAAGCAAATAGTTAAGATCATTAAGGGTCATGTTATGGTCTGTCATATAGTAGTCCCAAAGGAACTCACTATGTGACTTAGGAAGTGATTGAAGAACCTAGTCAACAACCAACTTCCTCAAGACTTTGACACCCAACTCTCCTGGCTTGTCTACATATGACTTCATCTCCAAGATGTGAGCACACACAGACTTTGCTTGTCAATAGGGCTTGAGTGACCTTGAACTTGTGGGTTAGGGAGAATAATTGGAGGAGGTGGAGGAAGAGAAGTATGATTTCCATGATCCAACCACGGGACATCATCTTCATTAGGAAAGTTTTTTTTCAAGGGATTTGGTAAGACCATAGTTGTCTGATCTAGACATCTACAATGGGAGAAATTCAAGTTAGTTGATTTAAGTCCTTAATATAACACCCAATCTGAAATATTAAGGCTAGGACCCAACACAATATTTTATAACTTGGAAGAGGGATGCCGTAATCCAAGCTATAAAATATTTGAAGGTAGGCGAATGACGATTCACCAATTTCCACAATGAAAAAAGAAATAGGAGCGTTAGGTTTTAATTGGATTGAAACTCCTAGATCTTTTGAGATTCATTGAACTTTTCAATGGCATGTTTAAATCTCGATTGTGCCCTCTCAAGTTTGTGACTGGGATGCCGAGGATCATAAACAAGGTGTGAATAACCATGCAAATTAACTTGGTACCCTTAATTTTATCACCTAATCGATGTGTCGATTTCCCACACGCGCTCCACCGATCTGTGATAAACATTAAGTCACCCTTTTCCACTCTTACTAGTCCATGTTAGTGTGCCGATTACCCACACACGCTCCACCAACGACTTGGTAAGGTACAAAGTGAAATTTCATGGGTTAGCACCAATTTCACATTTTCCTAAAGTAACTAAGATTGGAATTTATAAAAGGTTTAGTTACTTTATATTTATCATTATACTTTTAATGAGAATTATAGTCCTTGTCCTACCCGTTCGGCTAACGACCCTCCACCAATCAAGGAATCGGTGGGTGAGAGTGGACACCCATTAAACTGCCATTTTATAGGCAGTAACCTTATACCCTCCTTATAGACCGGCTTCGTGAATGCGGCCTACTAATGGTAAGATTGACTTTTACTCTTATACATATATATAAATAATAAACCTATAATATTATAATAGTATAAGTGTTGAACTTTAAACTATTTAAAATTCTAGGGTTTGGAACTAAAGTATTCAAAAGTGCAACTTTACAAATTCCAAAACTTGAGGGCAAGTTTTGAACAATTCAAGAAACTTTTGGAATCTATAACATATGAGTTTAATATGGCTTTTAATGGCAAGACTCTTGAAAATCCATAAATTGAGGACAAATTATGGATGTCATAAAACAATTTATGGAAAAAGACTCTTCAAGTTTCTATAACCAATGGCTTTAAAAACTCTTTTAAAGAAAAACTTTTGGTTTTCCATAAATTGAGGACAAGTTATGGAATCCATTAAAGGCCAATTAGATCATCTAATAAACAAATAAACATGTCAAGAAAAACTATGATCTAGATTAAACTCATATGAACAAGACAATTCAAATCAAACAATTTTCATGTAATTAGCCTAACCATTAAACTAATATAAAACATGAATCTATTGACAATTATCTTTTGAATTGAATTAGAACGATCATTACCATATCAAAAACAGGTTTATAAGATCAAAAACAGCTTAGGGTAACGATTCTAGTCCAATTCCATCCTTAAAAGTCGAAAATATGCACTCAGGGCCTCCTACTCGTCGAGTGTATGAACCTACTCGACGAGTAGAATGAATTTCCTCTTGGACTCGGCGAGTATAACTGAAAGCCAAGTTTTCGATTGTCCAGAAAGCCAAATTTTCGATTTTTTCAGCAATTGCATCAAGTATAACTGAAAATCAAGCCTAGGCTCTGATATCACTGATGGGTTTTGAGCATTGTAACACTCCTATGGTGTACATGCAACCTTAGAAACCTTGGATCTATGTTTTCTCTATTATACATGCAAATATGATTCTTCCAAGGTTCTCATCCGAACTAGCATACCATGGGGTACTTGTAATATAACACTTAGTAGGATAACATACCTTTTTCTTGTGGTTGATTCCTTGGAGCTTCAAGAGCCTAGCACCAATAATGTGGATGCCTCAAGTGGAATCACAAATCACCAAAAACAACTTGGAAAAATTGATAGAATAGTAAGCACACTAGAAATCGGCCACCTCTTGTTCACTCACACACCAATGCCATTTCATGTTCCAAAGACCTCTTTATATAGTATGGTGGATTAGGGTTACATCCATGTAAACCCTAATACCCATGACCTTTCATTTCCATAAGATCCATGGTTAAAATCTCAATGGACTATCCATGGACTTCCATGCAAGCTTAGCCCATCCTAAATGAACATTGGCCCATTCTATTATATATAGATATATATATATATAATATATAATATATATAGATATATAGATATATATATATATATAAAGTCCATATTTAATTAGTCTCTTTTGATCACCAAATTAAGTCTTGATCAATACTAATTAAATTATATGATTTCATATTAATATATTATAACTAATAATATATTAATAAATCATAAATATACTATTCTCAAAAGATTATCAATACAAATTGTTTCGGTGAAGTGCAACCCAAATGGACCATGCCGGTCGGGTCAAATATATACCAATTATAGTTTTGGACTTAGACACTAATCCAACATGGTCAAGGAAGTAGATGTCTGGTAGAACTTCAGGGTGTTCATCGTTTCCAGAAGATTCTCGAGTTAAGGAAACAAGTGGGAGTTCACGTGCTATGACAGGACCACCGTAAGATAGTGGTGCCTCCTTCAGGGAATCCACCCTTCATCGAGTTGTGTGATTTTATCCCAACTAATGTGTTTATTTATGATCAGACCTGGAAATCCAGTAGTTGTGTTGACTTTTACAATGAGGATTTTGGATTTGGCAAATGGGTATATACTCTGAAGCTTTTGGGTTGCAACAAGTATGGAACCAAGTAGTATTTCTTGTACAGATTTAGTGGGGTCGTATGGTGTGTGAGGTACGATGTTGTTTTTGGTGTCTGACTTGTGTGTATAGGAATAGGACCTGTATTTTCGTAGAATCTCATTGCTTTCCTTTTAGAGTGAAATGTCCTCATGCATTATTACAGGTTCTGATGGATCTTTAAATGGTTTCTCATTCCATGCTCCCTTTTCAGCTTCAGTCAATAAAATACCTAAATCATAGAAAGTACAATGAATCATCTACTTGAATGGAAGATTGAATCTCAAAATAGTGAGGTATTAAAAATGTTTTGCATCTAACATGACCTTACTATGGCCCTTATGATAGAATTTCAGGTGAGAATAAGAAGTATAGAACATAAGAACATAAAAAATTTGACCAATAATTACCTCGCTCCTTGTAAATCCAATGAGAATCACCACCTTGATCAGCAATAAACTTGATGATATTAAATACTGATGTTTCCCCATCATAAGAGATTGATTCCTTCCTTTCTGCTGGATATAAGAGCAGAGATGGGTAAAGATCCCTCTGTATATTCATACCACATCAATATGCATAAAATATTGAAATAAATAAAATTACTAATGAATTCTAATAAGACTCCATTGTTAAAAAGAAGTTCTACTAAGAACCGATACATATACAAGACATGAAATCTAAGTAAACTGTAGAGATGAACATTTAATCAACATTACATAGATGTAAACATGATATCCCATGCCTCTAACATGGAACATGATATACACAGACCAAAACTTTTAACTGAATTTACAAATACATACACTAGCCAAAATCAGGGGATATCAAGTACCTTAGTTGATGACTTGAGTAGTGAACTACAGTCATTTTCTATGCAATCCATCATATAGATCATCGGAAGCTTCAATACAGTATTATTTAAGTCATCTGCAAAACATTTAACCTTCCTTATTGTTCATGTAGCCAAATATTTAACACTTAAAAAAAGAAAGTTTAAGATATGAAACTGGGTAAAAGAAGAATAAAAACCAATGAGTGGACAGAAAAAAAAGAAGTAAAAAGGTAAAAGGAGCCAAACAGAAAGTTATACCAAATGAAAATACAAATGCCATCTACGTCTTACCATTCCTTGAATGCCTGATATACCTTATGAACCACAAGTTCTTCTAGCTTATCATCATCAGATTGAACATCTGTTTCTGACATTGTGATATCAATATCATCAGAGAGTAGCTGGAAGCCTACATCTTTAGCAAGTGAACTTATTTTTGTTTCTTTTTTCTTCTAAAGAACTTGTGCCAAGACTTCTTGCAAGGAACTACCTTGCAAATTTGAAGCAAGTTCTCTGAAGATAATAAGAGATTCCGTGCTTTTTGTTCTAATCTTCAAGGAATCAGATGATCTGTCAATCATAAAAAGGTAACACATTGAAAGGAGTTACTTTTCCCTGTAGATGAACATTGAATAAATGACACTGAATTTACCATCCTCGATAATCATGAATCTTAGAAACCAACCTTCGGTTGTTGAATAACTGACTGCTGTTTGCTGTTCAAAAAAAAACAATTCTAAATATTAATAAACCAAAACATATTGAATGTGAGTAAATGACCAACTTACCCTTCTGTCTATTTATATATATTTCAAAAAAATAAATAAACAAACAAACCTGAAGTATTGATCACAAGTAGCAATGACAACAATTGGAAGGTTTTCATCAACTAAATCCAAGGGTCCATGTTTCATTTCACCAGCAAGTATCCCTTCACTGTGCATAAGTGCCACTTCTTTCACCTTCAATGCACACTCAAGAGTTGTTGAATAGTTATACCCTTTTCCAAACATAAGAAGTGATTACTCACAGATCAAAGACTTTGCAAGATCTTTCATCTGTTCACCAAGTTTCAACACTTCATTCACTTTGCCTTAAAAAATTGATTTTTTTAATTAGAGTATGTTAACCCTGTTGTTGTTTATGGAAATGGAAATGGATCAAGATAACGTGATCAATAAGTTGTATTATTGAATGAATATATGATTATACGATGAATATATATATATATATATATATATATATATATATATATATATATATATACACACACACATAATATATTTACACATTCAACCCTATATTCATAATAATATGTCTAATATTCCCCCGCAAGCTAAGGTCGGGTAAGGACTTGAAGCTTGGACCGTAACCCCTCAAATCTTTGTGAAGAGAGTAGATTAGTAAATATATCAGCAATCTGCTCATCCGTGGATATAAACTGAACGGAGAGTCTCTTAGTAGCAACCTTCTCTCTAACAAAATGAAAGTCAACCTCAACATGTTTTGTGCGAGCATGGAAAATAGGATTAGCAGACAAATAAGTGGCACCAAGATTGTCACACCATAAAACTGGTATTGTAGTAACCGGGATGCACAGTTCTCGTAATAAAGTTTCAAGCTAGGTTACCTCAGCAACAGTATCAGCTAAGGCTTTGAACTCAGCCTCGGTGGATGAACGAGAGACAGTCTTCTGTTTCCTTGCTGACCAAGAAACAAGATTCGAAGCAAGATATATAGCATACCCCCCGGTGGATCAACGGTCATCCGGACACCTAGCCCAATCAGCATCAGAAAAGGCGGTAACCATAGATTGTGCATCACCGTATGCATGAATAGTGGTGTCACGTGACGGTATAAGATGGAGACCAAAGGTACTGGTACCACGAAGGTACCAAAGAATCCATTTGACAACAGACCAGTGGTTGACAGTTGGAGAATGCATGAACTGACAGACTTTGTTAACTGCATAAGAGATGTCGGGTCTAGATAAAGTGGCGTATTGTAAAGCACCAACTACTTGATGATACCGAACAGGATTGTCAAAAAGAAGACTATCACCAATAAACAAAAGAGCACCCATAGGAAGAGGGGTGCTAACCGGCTTAGCCTCGATAAGACCAACAAGTTGTAAAATATCCAACACATACTGTTTTTGAGAGAGAAAGAGGTCAGTTCCACAATAAGCACCCGAAACGCCAAGAAAATAAGATAAAGCTCCCATGTCTTGAAGAGCAAAGGTCTGACTCAGGATGCGGACAATCTGATCAATAGCGCCTTGATTGTTTCCTGTAATGATGATATCGTCAACATAAACCAACATGTAAATTCGCGTACCCTGAGTTGTCAATATAAAAAGAGAAGGATCAGTATGATATCCTTTGAAGCCAAGACTGTAGAGAGCCTTAGAAAAATGGTGAAACCAGGCACGTGGAGCTTGTTTTAGTCCATATAAAGACTTATGAAGAAGGCAAACATGATCAGGTTTATGTGGGTCAACAAAACCTGGAGGTTGGCGCAAGTATACCATTTCATTGAGATCACCATGAAGAAAGGCATTTTTAACATCCAACTGTCGAAGGGGCCAGTTGTTGGACACAGCAAGAGAAAGAACAACTCGAACAGTGGTGAACTTGACAACCGGACTAAACGTGTCATGATAGTCAATCTCGGGTTGTTGATGAAAACCTTTAGCGACAAGACGAGCCTTGTATCATGTAATAGCTCCTGTTTGATCCCGTTAAATTTTGTATACCCATTTACAATCAACAATGTTCATATTAGGTGCAGGAGGTACAAGAGTCCAAGTTCCATTTTTAAGCAAGGCTACATATTCATCAGTCATTGCTTGTTGCCAATGGGGGTGTTTGACAGCAGCCGAGAATGTTTGTGGTTCTGATTCATGTGCAACAAAAGTATGAAGATCCTAGGGATCAAACCGGGTTGTAGGTTTTGGGTTATGTCGAAGTTGAGGATGTCGAACCCGAGCGGTAGTGGCATCAGTGGAAGCCTCAGATGGAACCGGGGAGGCTGTTGGGTCCGGAGCAGTATCGGTAGGTCGTCGGCGAGAATACACGCGTAAGGGGGTAGTAGGTGATGCCACCAACGGAACCGTAGGGGGATTAGTAGGTGGTGAGATGGGGGTTTGTTGAGGTGACGGTTTAGTGGCTGCTGGTGGTGAATTGTTTGGTGGTGATGTGTCGGTATCGTAGGAGTAGGATACATCGAGATGTAAGGGTCGGATGTGGGGGGTATAGGTGGTATAGGTTTAGGTTTCAAGAAGGGAAAATAGGTTTCATGAAAGCGAACATGGTGGGAGATGTAAACCTTGTCAGAGGTGGAGTCAAGACACCGGTATCCACGGTGAGAGGAGCTATACCCAAGAATGACACACGGGATGGATCTAAAATCCATCTTATGTTTGTTATAGGGTATTAGATGGGGAAAACATTGACACCCAAAAACCTTTAAAAAGGAAAAATCAGGAGAGCGTTTAAAGAGAAGCTCAAATGGTGAAATGTGAGAGGTTGTTCGAGATGGCATTCAGTTAATAAGATAGACTGCAGTGTCGAACGCGAAATGCCAAAAAGTGTTAGGAACACCTGATTAAGCCAGTAAGGTTAGACCAGTCTCAACGACATGTCGATGACGTCTCTCAACCAAGCAGTTTTGTTCACTTGTATGAGGACAAGAAAGACGATGAAGAATGCCAAGTGATGTAAAAAATGGATTAAGTTTGCGAAACTCACCCCCCCCCCCCCCAATCAGTTTGGACCGATTTGAGTTTGGTCGAAAATTGACATTCAACAACAGAGACAAATTGTTTAAAAACCTCAAAAACATCAAATTTGCGTTTAAGAGGAAAGATCCACATAAAACGAGAGAAATCATGAACGCACATTAAAAAGTAATTATGATCATCAAAGGAGGTCATAGGTGCCGGACCCCAAACATCACAAACAAGAAGATCCAAAATATGTTTGCGATTAAAATTGAAAGAAGTTAAGTAAAGTTTAGAAGACTTCCCAATATGACAAGGTTTACAAAAAGTATCAGAAACTTTATTAGAAATAGGGAGACAATACTTAGAACACATAAAATTAAAAAGTTGTGAATGAGGGTGCCCCAGCCGTTGGTGCCAAATGTCAGATGAAGCCTTGAAGGTAGTGAACACAACTTTAGGAAGACTTTGAAGAGACGGAAGGATGATGGAGTAGAGCCCGTTGTTACTTGGACCCGTAAGGAGGGTAGTTTTGGTAGTATTGTCCTTCACAGCAAAAAAAAGAAGAATGAAATTCAAAGAAAACGTCTTTGCCAAGACAGAATTTTTGAACGGAAATAAGATTCTTTTTGATTTCAGGAACATGAAGAATATTGGATAAAGTAAAAGATTTTGAAGGAGAATAGAAACGAGTAGAACCAATATGTAAAATAGGTAGACCCATACCATTGCCAACATGAAGGGAGTCCTCACCAAAGTAGGGTGTGTGGCTGTCAAGAGAGGAAACATCATGAGAAACATGATTGCTGGAACCATTGTCGGGAAGCCACGTGGTAGACTGAGAGTGATTGTCAGCATAGTCGGCTGTTGGCTGTTGGCGAGAGCGGATAGTGGCCGGGTCTCAGTTAGGGCATTGGGAAGGAATATGCCCGATGCCACACCGGTTGCAGGTACCATACACCGTGTTTTGTGAAGATGCCCAAGGAAATTAGTGTCGTTGCCTCGGCCACGACGACGGTTATTTGAAGTGCGACCTCGAGACGAAGAAGGACGGTTGGTATAAAAGGCTTGAGGCGATGAAGCGGGGGCTGGGTTAAGTTGAAAACCCAACTGAGAGGCAAGTTGTTGAAGAGTTTGTAGCGCATTAGGAGGTGTAGTCGTAGGAGTAGAGCGGATGGAAGAGGTGGTAGAGAAGGCTTGTACGAGTGTAATCGCGAGTATACTTTTCTTCACCATAAAATCATGATCATCGAGAAGACCATGGAGCTCTTGGAAGGAGGTGGGGACTTGTGGAGCCATGAGGGTAGACTTTAGCCCATTGTATTCCTCGCGAAGACCAGAAATCACAAGCATGACAAGGTCTTTATCTTTGACAGGTTCACCAATGTATGCTAGGGCATCTGAGTATTCTTGAGCACGTAGAACGTATGTAGAGGTTGCTTCATCAGATTTCATCTCGATTTTGAGAAGCTGTGTTTTAAGGGTATACTCTCTAGATGAAGAGTAAGGAGCATAGGCTCGTTGTAGAGAGAGCCAAAGGTCCTTGGCTGTCGTTCCTTGTGCATGAGGATATGATGCTTCAGAGATGGTGGATAATAGAAGCATACATACATGAGCATCATTAGCAAGCCATGCAGTGTAAGAGGGGTTTGGTGTAGGATTTGCAGAGGCAGCCTTGTCGGCAGTCGGAAGGGTTTGAGTGGGACATGGAATAGTGTCATCGATATACCCAAAAAGATTGTTGGTAACAAGGAACGGCTGAATTATAATCTTCCAGAAACCATAATTAGTAGGAGTTAGGGTAAAATGAAACTTATGAGAATTGTGTGAAGTCTTCTCGGTTGTGGAGAAGGGATTGATGATCGTCATCTGCTGAGGTGCTGTAAGATCATTCTGGACTTGTGAAGTCTCTGTGAAGATTATTGGTTCTGGACTTGTGAAGACTCTGTGAAGATTATGGAACTTGTGTGAAGACTCTGTGAAGATGATCGCTTAAAGAAAAAAAATGTGTGAAGTCTCTGTGAGGATGTGAGGATCGTTATGGTGAATTGTAACTGATCAGCAGCTAGCTGAGAAAATACGCTCTGATACCAAGATAACGTGATCAATAAGTTGTATTATTGAATGAATATATTATTACACGACGGATATATATATATATATATATATATATATATATATATATATATATATATATATACATAATATATTTACACATTCAACCCTATACTCATAATAATATGTCTAATAGATCATACTTGGCAAATGTAGAAGGCTATCTATGATTGCTTCTCTTCGTGGTTTAAAAGAGATTGTGTCAGCTCCAATGGCTAGAGCCACCATAGCCATCACCACAATTTGACTTGTGTATGCCTAAATATCAACACCATGAGTTAACTAAAACAATTCTTGTAAAAATTAAATTTGAATTTTTTTTTTTGAAAAAACATGTCCAATAACACCCTGTCTTGTGAAGAGAATATGTTTCACTAATGATCCTCCCTAAAGTATATCCATTTATTTGCTTTTATGCCAAAAATTCCCCTTGGAAAAGCAGCACATATCCCTACACATATACAAAAAAAATGAAATAAATAAAGAGTACAATTTTTATTAAATACCTGTAATGGAACTATGTTGACAACAGGCTGCAAGCAGTCAACAACAGGAGGAACTTGAATTACTCTACAAGATGGACCACAAACAGCTGCTGCATCTCCTTCTATACACATCACTTTGGTGGCACAACTTTTGAACCAAATTCACTTATATTTGGAATGTCAAGCAAGATTTTAATTTTATAATTGATAAACAAATAGAACCTAACATAGTAAATCAAGTGCAAACCTTAAGGCTTGAAACATCACATCCTATCAACAAACATTTCAATAATCAAAATAGCAACATTTACCTAAGATTACACCATTTTTGTTAATTTTGGTGCAAGAAATGGTGTTATGTGTTGGAGATGGTCTAATAGAAGGGCCAAATTCATATAAACCAGAAAAAACAAGATTCCATATTCCTACCTCATAAGATAAACATCAAATTCAAAATAACTATTTGTCATCAAACATACCAGGAAAGCATCCACAGCCTCCAATTCCACCCAAAGCATAAACACCATTTGTGCCTTCTCCATCGTTTTTGGCCTCCCCGTAAGGCATTTTGCCACAATTGCATTGCAAAATTCCTTGGAATACCTACAAAACCAAATTATAACTACTCTGTGTCTTTGAAATGGAAGAAATTAAACATATGGAATGAACCAGAATTCACAATCGACCAACAACGCCATCTTTTTTAGCGATGAGTGTGTGTGTGTATGAGAGAGACACATAAATAGAGAGAGAGATGAAGAAATAGAGAAAGACCATTGTCATAGACCTTTAATTACGTCACCTAAACTTTGACCGTTTTCTGAGTACATCCATGAGATGATTGCCAAGACTTGCTACTCAATCGTTAAAGGAGGAGAAGGGAGCATCAATCTGAGACACAATAAAACACAATAACCCTACCAATGTTCCGGATACCATAACTCTCGAATTTGAAAACTTTTTATCTGCTTTATACTGGCTCGTATGATTGGAAGAATGGTGGTGGATGAAGCGTTCGTTGATAGGGCCGGTGAACCGCCGCTATGTGAGGCCAAAAGAGACAGTGAGTGTTGGAGGCGGTGGTGGTGGGTTAGGGGCAGAGACGAAGGAGGTGAGATATGAGAGAATGATGGATACAAATGTGAGAGAAGACACCTTACAGAGTAGTCCTTGTGAAGTTCTTGAAAAAAAGCCCTAGTTTTGGTCCCCATTTTGTAATAGGAACGCGCGTTTAAAAATTATAAAACGACATGGTGCTAGGAAACGCGTTTATGATAGGTGTCTTCCGTGTTTTTATTTTTTATTTTTTCTGACACAAATTTTAGGGCACGTAAAAATGTGTGTCCTAAATCCTTCATAATTTTGAAGAGATGACATTATTTTTACGTCACACACTTTTGCGTATCGTAAATTCGTGCGTGTCATAAATTGCGCGTCATTAAAGGCCTATTTTCTTGTAGTGATTGTTTTGATCCTTTATTCTTCAACCTTACAACTAAACACGGACACTACGTCTAACAAGGTTCTCAAACCGAGTATCTTATTTCGCAGATTCACCCTTAACTGGGCACGATTTGTTAAAACTATTTGGGTTGGAATTACATTTTCTTCTCAGTCATTACCGAAACGAAGGTAATGATAGAAATGAACAAAAATTGAACTCGGATACCGGTTTCTTAGTAACCTCACGACTTTTCCTGATCCAAGTGTGAGTCCTGTGCTTCGGGTAGTATAGGTTTCTACTACCTTTCATACCTACACATACTCGTCCCAAGTATTGTCTCGCAGTTATCAAGTCACCATACAAGCACGAAATCACATAGCAATTTAACACATTAAGTAGTATAACATAATTAGATATTTTTTATAACTTCTGAAATGATTACAATCATATTCAAAGTTTATTATACTTTATGTCTCTTATACCAGGCTACGTACTACAACACTTATCTAAGCGGAACGACTACTCCTATGCCTCAAAATTTCTTGATAAGCAACTTCCTTATCTTGACTCCCCGAAATGATGTCTGCTTCCTCCTTTATAGTCTTGAGAGTCATCCGCAATGCTTGCACGACATCTTTCTTCCTTGGGC